CCACTGATCTGAAATAAGACTGGATAACGCATCTATAGTATACGAAAGTGAAGCCGGAAGTCACTGGCCGCCACCCGATTCTGGGGCCCCACTTTTGTATAGATTTGTATTACAGACGGTAGTTTTTCGCGTTTTTTGCCTTGGCTACGCTTCCGATCGGGCCAATTTTACAATCACAACGATAGAAGCATACAAGAAGCTTTTTGAGCAAAAAATTTGGAGTATTATGGCTTTATAACGCCGCGAAACGGGATTTACAACTCTGAAGGAGTAGAGAGCCTCAGACTTTGTTTATCAACACGAGCTCGGTTTGCTACTTTCATACAAAATCAACTCAAAATATACAAGAATTATTGTTACTGGACGAATATTCTTACGAAATTTGAAGAAATTAAGCAGCTACATTGTGAACGAAAGCGTACAGAGGTTAGACTTTGTTTATCAACACGAGCTCGTTTGCTATTTTCATACAAAATCAATTTAAAATATACAAGAATTACTGTTTACTGTACGAATATTCTCAGGAAACTTGAAGAAACGAAGCAGCTACATTGTGAACGAAAGCGTACTGAGGTTAGTTTTAAAATACCTTGAGGCTACTTTTATAATTATACGAATTTAATAAGGAACAGTTTTAAATGTCAATTTTGTCAAAAGCATTTCTAGGCGACTGGTCGAGAAGTTTTATATGTTTTAAAGTAGGAAGACAAGTGACAATGAAATATTTTTGATCCAAATTATAAACAACGCCTCAATATGTTATTTTAATTCATATAATTATGGAAGTAGCCTCGAAGTATTTTAAAACTAACCTCCGTACGCTTTCGTTCACAATGTAGCTGCTTCATTTCTTCAAATTTCGTGAGAATATTCGTCCAGTAACAATAATTCTTGTATATTTTGAGTTGATTTTGTATGAAAGTAGCAAAACGAGCTCGTGTTGATAAACAAAGTCTGAGGCTCTCTACTCCTTCAGAGTTGTAAATCCCGTTTCGCGGCGTTATAAGGCCATAATACTCCAAATTTTTTGCTCAAAAATCTTCTTGTATGCTTCTATCGTTGTGATTGTAAAATTGGCCCGATCGGAAACGTAGCCAAGGCAAAAAACGCGAAAAACTACCGTCTGTAATACAAATCTATACAAAAGTGGGGCCCCAGAATCGGGTGGCGGCCGGTGACTTCCGGCTTCACTTTCGTATACTATAGATGCGTTATCCAGTCTTATTTCAGATCAGTGGTTTAACAGCTTGATAAAAGCGTTTGGAATTGTGGGTGTCTGCGTAGCCCTGGATTTCATCGGCCTTTTGAATGAACCATCTGTCCTTCATACGCCTCAATTCAGTCTGGACAGTCTGCTTTACTTTGTGTAAAGCAGCTGTGTTGGCTGGAGTCTTGTTTGAAAGGTTTAACTTTAAGAGCCTGTTCTTCTTTTCAAGCAGCTTGTCTATGGCCTCATTGTTTTCATCAAACCAGTCCTGTTCTTCTAGCAGCTTGTCTATGGCCTCATTGTTTTCATCAAACCGGTCCTGATGAGAGTGTGTTTTAGGACCCAGTATGTCACTGCATATCAAGTGTACAGTATTCTTGAAGTCTGCCCAGTCCTGCTCAATGTTGCCAGAATTCAAGGGCAATGACTCAAGTTTCTCATCCAGCTCACTAGCGACATGCTGCTTGACGTTGACATAATTCAGCTTGTCAATATTCAGACGCTTAGGTGGTTTCTTCCCCTGTGGACGTCTAGGTGGTTGAGTTTGCATATGATGAGGCGGTGGTCTGTCCAGCAACCTGCTCCACACATTGACTTCGTCACTCGCACATCATTCCTGTCTCTAGTTCTGACAATGGCATAGTCGATGAGGTGCCAGTGTTTTTAGCGTGAGTGCATCCAAGTAGTTTTATTTCTGATTGGCAGCTGGAAGAGTGTATTTGTGACACTAAGGTGGTGCTCAGCACACAATCTGAGGAGGAGTAGACCGTTGCTGTTGCATGATCCAACGCCGTGCTTCCCAATGACTTCATCCCACGCTTCTACATCCGACCCGACACGGGCATTAAAATCCCCAAGAACCACCAGCTTGTCTTGTTTGGGTGTGGAAGCGATGATAGTGTCGAGTTCCTCATAAAACTTGTCCTTGATGTCGTCTGGGTTTGTCATGGTAGGGGCATAGCAACTAACAATAGTAGCATATCTTTTTCCCTTCAGTTGAAGAGTAAGCGTCATGAGGCGATCGTTGACCCCTTTGGGTAGGCTAGTTAGCTTGCCTATTAGGTCGTTTTTGATAGCGAAGCCAACTCCCGACTCACGGCGTTCATCCTTCCCACGCCCACTCCAGAAGAAAGTGTATCCGGCTTTTAGCTCTCTCAGTTGTCCTTCTTCAGCAAAACGAGTTTCGCTCAGAGCAGCAATGTCCACTTTGTATCTTGACAGCTCCTTGGCTACGAGTGCTGTTCTTCTTTCCGGTCTATTCGCATCATCTTTGTCTAAGAGTGTTCGAACGTTCCATGCGCCGACTGTGATCGGTATCTGTTTGTTGTTTTTCGTGTTTCGTGTATTTCGACCGCATGATGGGGACCCCTGCCAGTCGCGGTAAACTAGCCCGGGTTAGTTGAGACAGGCAATGTTTGGGGCACCTTTTCTAGCCCCCTCCCCAGGCTACGGGGGTGAGCAGTGCATTCCTGAAAAGGGCTGCTCAGTCACTCAGGATGTTGCCGGGAACCTTTGCTGTCACGGTCAAAGAGCTAACGACCAGTGTCTTGAGCCGCCTGCGTGTAGGGTCACAACTGCAGCTTCCAGTGTATCCACACCTGCTGTTTTCGTCGTTTGCCAATCGCCACAGGACTTTGAGAGTTTGTGGTGATGTAATGGTGTATGTACGAGATGAAATATGACTTGTGCTGATGACTTTGATTTAAGTGAAGAAGGGTCGCGCGCCACTAACCTCACTCTCTCGTCTGAATTCACCGTGATCAAGTGGCAGGACGTAGTCGAGACGGCTAGAGATGAATACAGATGCAGAAGTTGCCGGAGCCTTGCCATATTTGCACAAGAAACCGCCTACGGGACTTCACTCCGAATTGACCACAGCCAAATTCCACATCGTTACTGGTGGCTCGCCTTGATCACGAACACGTGGGCCCTTCCTCCCTGGCCGGTGACTTCTTCGTGGAAGTTCGTACGCTCAGTGATGTCGTGTTAACATCACCCCCTCACGTGGTTCAGCCCGCCGACTGAAGCGGTTACCAGGGTGTGGCACTAGGAGCCAGCACGTGAGAGTTTGGGAGATGGATGAAGACCAGATACACCTGTCCACCCTAATTGTAAGGTGCAGTCAACAGGCACCAAAGGAACTACTTCTATCCAGAGCCCCCTACACCCCAGAAATGCTATAGAAATAAGAGAAATAACACAATGTCTACATGATATCAACATCCCAGGTCTTCCCGCATGTCAATATCATGTAGACCTTGGCTGATGACGGCTTCGAGAATTTGAGTCCATGAAAAACAATGATTTCAATTATTTAAAATTTTAAGGGCGTTATCCGCACAGCATTATGGGGCTTCGGGAGCGCAGTCGTCAGAGCTACCGTATTTCACCTTTTGCCACGTTTGACTCAAGACTTTCGTGGAAAAGGGTCACTCGACGTTCTACCAAAAATCGTCCGTTTTCGTCGGGTACTCCGGTAAGGTCGGCGATACTCAGCACGGGCCCAGAGAAGATTGGGGAACACGGTCTCTCTCAGGCTCGTACGCAGTCTCCTTGGTTTGTTTCGTCTCCACCAGACATTTGAGAGGGACATGAATCTTGTGTAGTCACTGCGGTGTTCATGACACCTTGTCGCTGGCAAGGTTCTTCACACAAAAAATATTGTAAAGTTCTGGCGCGTACTATCTTGGGACTAATAATTTAGAATATGCTTTATCTAAAGTAATTTTCACCACACCCATGCGATCGTGCTTACTCTACTTTTCCGAGCCCAGCATTGTATTGCTAAAATAGGTTGAAATACGGGTAAAAAAAACTATTGTACATTCACCCAAGATTAAGTAATCAAGACATATTGCTATTCTGGTAACTCCCTGGCTAGACCTCAACATTAGCTGCTGTTAATACATATATACTTATATTTGTAGATGCTGAGAAACAATCAAAAAGCGAACAAGAAAGTCATGATGAACTTCTTTCTTTGCAAAGCGGTAATTCAGATTCTACTGCTACATGTTCAAGAGTGGTTCCGGATCGTCAATCGATGACATCTTCTTCGTCTACACATACACATACAACGGGAGTATATTATAATGAACCTACAGACCATGTGGACAATAGTGCAGATGAATCCACATATATCCCTTTCCCGCCCCGGTTACCACCACTAACTGTTCCCACTTATCCTTCCCAAGTGCCAGCTATGTCCATTTCGTTGAACACGCCCCACCCCTCCGCCAATACCACGAATAACCCCCCGTCTACAACAACCACTCCCCATCAAGTTCAACATACCTATGACGTAACTCAACCACGATCTGTAGCCGATTGCAGTCGAACATCATATGGATATAATTCAAGTGTTAATTTCCCTGCAAGGCCGACAAACCAAGGAATAGGAATATCTTCTGGGCCGACTAACGATCGCGTAGACAACATTCACCCAGAGGAGTCTTTGGTAAGTGCTGTGTATAATTTAAGCAATTGAATATAACATTATATAAGAAATTGAATTTATTTTTTTAAAAACGTGTGGGTCTAAAAGTTTTGAATTCGATTTTTATTGAATTCGATCAATTGAAATTTAACTTTTGCTTTGTTGTTTTATTTGAAGCTCGCATTATACGGATGTTGCGAGTCAGTTAATGCTCCAGCCCGTGCCTCTCTGCAATTTTCCCATGGGTCAAAATAACATGCTTGTTCAAGTACACAGCCTATATCTTGCGTGTATAGTTGAGATGGCACGGCAGATGATCGGAACCAACATTCTGGAGATTGTATAGCATGAAATAAAGAAAATTTGTATCAATATCAAGTTGTTCAATCGGTTGAGGCCTTTTGGTATGTCCTCATCTTGCTCCTTATTCTCGTCGCCCTAGAGATTCGAGTTATGGTTAAATGTAGCCTGAGAGCAGGCGTTTTGGTTGGGGCGAAGTAAACCAAAACGCCTACTCTGCAGGCTAGGTTAAATGTAATTATAGTAATTGGAGTTGATGTATGGAATCAATTGAAACCAAATTTTAAGAAACATAAAGTTGTATAACATTTCAAAAATGAATTACTGAAACCGCGGTGATGAGACCAATTATAGTAGCTATATTGGCCAAAGAATTTAATCATATATTATGTAGCTAACATTTTCTTTTTCTTCATCATCTTGCTATAAGTCTATATTTATTCCTGTTTCCTACCTCAAAATTTTAAATATTACATATACTAAAAAAATGATATCTTATAGCGTTATTACATTTGATTTTAAATGATTGTGATGTTATATAGGTGAATTTTAGCAGTAAAAACCAAAGGAAAACAAATTTAAAATTCGTCTAAAATAATCTGGCGACTTTGAAAGTTAAAACATTTATCAAAATGAGCTTTCTTACCATAAGTCTTTCCGATTCTATTAGGCCCTATATCACCTGTACAAACAGTCGTAATATATTTTCAAAATTGTATATCATTAATAATATACATGAAAAAATTATGCAGAATCAAATTCATAGGTATAGCACTTGCATGCATGAAACACATGAAATAAATCATTTACTCACTTCACTTGAATGGCTCAATAAACTGATATTAAACTGTCTTTTGTTTGGGCGCTCGCCACGTGTTTTTTATTGCACTGAATTTCCTTTTTTGGCACTATATAAATTGCGATAAAATTTCTCTGCTCATAGCCAATTAGAATTGAGTAATTTCTTTTATCTGTATTATGTTTTTAGGAATATTGTACATGGAAAAAACAATAAATAAAATAAAGAAATATATAAATTGTAAATCATTGTGGATGGCCCCACGCTTTAATCTTGACAGCAATATTATGTATATTATTCCATATTTTTTTTCCAGACCGGCGACCTTTCGTTGGATAGGACTGTTCTTTCAATACGGGAAAAACTTAAGAAGGCAAGGCTATAGTTGCAATTTTAGGTCTACACCGTAGATTGGTCGTGCACCTGTGCATGCTTAAACCACCCTTCCGGAAAGTACTTAGCCTTGACTTTGCTATAGAGCCTCGTTTTCGAGATTGAGAAATCGGCTTTAATTTAAGGTGGATCTCCACCAGACGATCGTCAAAACAGTTCGCGATGACACATGCGCAATTGAAAAAAGGTTGGAAGAGCGATCGTCTAGCGCTCGACGAAAACTAGGATTGACTTCTACTTTTCTCGAGCGCCAGACGATCGCCAAATTTTTAACCAATAAGATTCTGCGCCGGCTTTTTTTCTTGCTGCTAGTACATCTCCACTTCTCTCTAAATCGTCGCGCTCGTCATAAAAATCGTCTCAAAAATTGTCTAGTGGAGATCCGCCTTTAGAGCAGATATAAAGGTCTTTTGTAATTTCGTAAAAATATGTAACACGATAAAGGACTCTAAATAGAATATCTCATATCACGAAAACGAGGATCTATATATAGTCAAGGCTGAGTAGTTATTAGAAGGGTGTATTGCACGCACTAGACTATATCTTAACGCTTTTCCGCATATATTATCAGGTCAACAAAAGGTCTGTTACCGAGACACAAGTGGCAGTTGGTAACAAAAAGAAAAAACAAAGAAAAAGAATATAGCGTATGCATGGTGTTGATTTTGTATCCATTGGAATGCACAAAACGTCCTTGGTAAGCGTTTGTTGCGACCTTTAGGGGCCGATTACATGGAGCATTTTCAACCCCGGGGTTGAACTCAGCCCTGTTTACTGGGTTGAAATTTCAGCCCTGTCTGTAATACAAAACTCTATCAAAATCAAACACGCGATTACATGACAAAATTTTCAACCCAGGGCTGAGTTCAACCCGGGGTTGAAATTTCAACCCTGCTTCAGCTAGCACAATTTTGTCATGTAATCTTTTTAACCCAGGGCTAAAATTATCATGACTTATTCGAGCATGCGTGGTAGTGACTATTTATTACAAGAAAACAAAATGAGGGATTTTTTACTTAAATCTCGGGAATCGATGCCGAGAACATGTAGTATAGCGTTTCAACCCCAGGGTTGAAATCGTCCATGTAATCGCAAAAAAATTCAACCCGGTTAACAGGGCTGAGTTCAAGCCCGGGGTTGAAAGTTTTCCATGTAATCGGCCCCCTGAGTACTGTAGTGACACAGCCAGGTGAATATATAAATGTAGGCTGCTAGGATTATTTCATATTATGCTAATAATGGACGTATCTCAGAGATATATTTTTATGGACCGTCATATACCTTTTACAAAAGTCGGTTGACATGTTATTACATGTAACTGCTGGTAAGTTTAATAATATGTGCAGACAACAATCCACACTGGGTCGCTATAGGAATATCTTGTACAACTAGTCAGATAATTTTTCAATGGTATACAATTGTGTGTTCCGATACAGGCACGATACTGGCATACTGCTCAATTGATATTCCCATATAACAACAATATTAATAATAAACTATCACTGTGATTATTTATACCTTGAAGAACGATGCTCAATCAAGCTCAATCAGATTTTTTCTCGGTTACAAACTGACTCCGATCGACGAGCTCCACTTGTTTATAATTATATGAAAACTTGTATGCACCTAAAATTTAATAATTTAACTACAGTTAATTCATTCGTTTCAAGTTTCAACGGGTAAAATACTTCGACCAAAACACATTGTTATTTGTGATCAAACGTATATCTTACCTTGAAAAATATTTCCATAAACAGCCAGAGAGCCAGACATTGAGACATACAAAAATTTGCAACGAGAACGAGGCATACAAATTGTCATGGTCCATGGTGGTGTTCGTGAGGTTCAACCAGGGTATTCGGAAAGTCAAATCGCGATCTGGAGTATGTTATCCCCGAGCCGGCGGCGCGAAGCGCCGTGCGAGGGTACTAATTCCGCCCGGCTATTTACACCCGGGTGTTTGAAAACATAGCGAAGTGCAAAGTTGTCCTCCATAATTGAACACCGCGGAAAAACGTCTGCGCATGCACCAAATTATCAATTTCTAAAACAAAAACATGCTTATTAATTGGTCAAAAATTAGTAAAACAAACGAGAAAATATAGCAAATGAGTAGACTAGACATTAATTGAAAGCGTCCTGGCATTTAAAGTATGGAATGAAAAATAATTCATGTAAAAAATTGTTGATTTTAACCGACACGACTTCGAAAATTTTTGCAGAATTATTCGAAACAAAAATTCAAACTAAAAAGTTAAGAAAACTCTCGAAAAGTTAAGCTTCTTAACCCACGCAAATTGTAGAATAAATCCTAAAGTTTAATTATTGTGAACACGAAAATTTTTTATATTTGGCGACATAGTTTTTTTTAAAGAAATGTATCTCAAACGAAAATTCGGAAATTGTCGTTGCTTAGTTGATAAACAAAATGTTTCAGACGATAAATTTGTCAACAATCACCTTTAGTTCACGTTCTTGTACAATACAATTTCTTGAACCTTCTGGCTGTATTTATTCCTAGTTTTTAGAATGACATGTTTATTTTTACGCTCGAAATCTGGCTGTAAAGACACACAATGAAGTCACTCCTTTTTACCGCCATTTTGAGCTTTCGAAAACGTTCGGAACAGCTTCTCATCAAGTTCGCAATACTATTACAGGTAAGGTTGGCGCATGCGCAGACGTTTTTCCGCGGTGTTCCATAATTGTCCTCCATTATGTGATGGACGGTCTTCGACGTTATTGCGCATGCACGTGTAATAGCTCGCACTAAAAATTGTTTTTCATTTTGCAAAGATGTATTTTACTATTTTACAATATTTTTTGCGATGTATTTCGCTATTTAACTGGAAACAAGCCTGCAGTTTCATGAATTAGTGGCTGTCAACCGTGAAACAAAGTGTGAAAGGCATGCATAGGCTGATAAACACAATTTTGTCGAAGACGAACCAGATGTTTTCAATATAAAATTTAATCGTTGTCTTGACTCTTGGCTATCTTGAGTAAGTGTTATAAACATTTCAGTATTAAAATTTCATACCGTACTTGCATGCTTTGTGTTTTCGATTTTATTCATATCGGCGAAATTTTTATGCCGTTCAACTCAATATATAATATATTATTTTTATGCAAGCTGGTATTTATGTGAAAATGTATAAATGTAGTGATTTTAAATATTATTTATTTGGGGCAATTAATACAGCACATCGTGTTTTTATGCGTGTTTATAATGGTCTTTTACCTGCAGCAAATATGGCTTCACCAAAATATAACTCAAAAACTAGCTTTTGCTTATTTAAAGCAAATATATTTCACCATATTTTCGAGCAAACTACTGACTATACTGCCAACAAAGCGAGTGTTTCAGCTTCCCCTGCAGTTCCACGGCAAAGTTTCGAAACGCTTTACCGTTACATTTTACACTAACTTTTAGCCAATTGAAAGCCACATAACATAAAACTACATTCCTTTTAACAACAAATTATGAAAATCAACGATTCTTTTGGTAAAAAATTATATCCTATTATTTTGTCATATTATTTTCATGTTACCATATTGACTATTATTTTTTGAACATGGAGTACTTCATGTTGAATAAAATTTCTATACTCCATCTGTTAAAAAAGGCGAGGGGTTGCTGCATGCATGTATTTCTAGTTTTTACTGTAAAATTTCTGTGACGTCAAAATACGTCATAAATCTGATCATCCAAACATCCAAACATTCGTACATTGCAAAATCGAGTTGTCGTTCGGCTATACATAACTCGGCCAAAGAGACTGGGCACACGTAAACGCAATACTTCGTGTTAAGAATAGTGTGCTGCCTTCGGCCGCAATTACCCTCGCCTTCCGCTCGCGCCCGCAATCCTTGCTGTTATTTTCGTTGGAACGTCATGTAATATTTTCGTTTTGTCAATTTATTCGCCATATTTGAACAATCGTTCGAAGCAAAATGTTTCTGAGCGATTTTCTGAGCGTATATAAGCGCCCTGTTAAAAGCTATTCACTGCAAGTGCCAGCTCTTATGATTTATACAAGTAAGTGCAATAATTTAAATATATTACGTTATGATGTTTTATTCATATTACGTTTAATTAATGTTTTATTCATATTCATAAAACAGCTCTTAGTTGGACCCCCTGTGTAATTTCAGTCATGAATGAACATTTCCCCCAAGTTTGCGCGCTCGAAAAGCTATCACCTTTTATTGTAGATCGAATGGGCATGCGTAATAAAACATAAGACAAAAGGGAAATAATTAATGAAGATTGTGATACTTGAGTAGCGAATATGAATATTTCTCATTAATTATTTCCCTTTTGTCTTATGTTTTATTACGCATGCCTATTCGATCTACAATGAAAGGTGATAGCTTTTCGAGCGCGCACGCTTGGGGGAAATGTTCATTCGTGACTGAAATTATTCAACATATTGAATATTCGGTGCCGATGGCACGCGTGGCTGAAATCGCTCAAAACGACACCGCGACAGGCGCGTAACTATATGATTTTTGATTGACCGAGACACTTCTGGGGGGCGGTTATTTTGTAAGGCTTAGAAACGCTATTTCCTGCATTCTGGGAGCAGTTCAAACGAAAGATCAATTTCATAAACAGTGACACAATGACTATAATTTTATACTGTTGTTTTCCCCCAATTCTGAGGCTAAGAATTACAAATATTTTTGGTCGAACATCATTGATCAGGTGCATAATAAAAAAGTGTTTGTGCTCAATTGTTGTAATATTTGGGCGCTGGCCCGCACTTTTGTTATTGGGGTACTTGTGCACCCATACAACCTCCCATTTCTTACGTCACTGTAGAGCAAGAATGTCAAGAATAATGCTTCTTTACATTGAGAGAACTATACAGTCTGTCATTGAACTTGAGCTCGATTGACTCATATAATTACCTAGTTATGGGCCTGACTGTAAGCAACAATTGGAAACATCGCGTAGTCAGTGGAAACAATTTTTCGCTCCGTGATTTCAGATAAACCTCATGTGCGTCGTTCACTGATCGAATTTCTTGATTGCAGTAGGCACATAAAACTCTTTGGTAACAAAATGCATATTATGCATAATTATCGTGTTACATGTGAACATACTTCCTAATATAAACTCGGCTAGAAATTCGTTTTTGCACTTTACATCTTAAAAATATAGTTTAGGGACCGGAGAAATATTGTAACTAATGTTAGCTATTTTGATTGACATTAATCGCATTTTGGAGTCTGATTTTAGGGGTTTGAAATTTTCGCTATTATAGATATCATCCGTGAATAACCTTGCAGAACCTAAATTCCAAATAAAAGTGCCAACACGTAATCGTGACATATAGATATCTCCATGTTTGGAAAGTAAATGGAAACTCCATCCCTTTGCGCGTGTTTTGAATGATAATTCGTTCATAAACTCGCGAAATAAGTACGTATTGTTATATAGCTAGCGTGAACACCAAACGTGATTGGCTGATTTGTGGTCACGTGTCTTCAGATAAATGCAATGTTTCCCGCCGGGCAAAAAGTGAAAAATTGTTGCCCGACCGGCCACGTACATAATAAACAAAATGGAGGCACCACTCAGATAATGAGAAACTACGATTCTCCTAGCCTGTGCACATCCTGTATTACCCTGTACTACAGTCTGTGAAAACTGACGCGATTGCTTGTCGAGCTACTCAGATCTGAGTAGTAGACTGTCATTGGCTAAAGATAATTAAATTATTTTGATTGCATACGATTGGTTAATTTCTCATCACTAGTAAAACCTGTTTTTCCAATCAATGTAAAATTAATAAGACCACTTAATTTCAACGCGCGAAATTGATTTGTTCTTCAAAATTTCCTATACTCGCTGCTCCAAGACAAGGTAAATTTTATATATTTTTAATCGTCGAGAAATAGGCTATCGGAAAATGTTTAAATCAAGTTTATACGATCAGAAATTTAGAAGTTAGGAGTCAATTTGGTAGCCGCTTGACTACAAATTTAATTGTTTACACTGACACGAAAACAACATTACAAATCTTATGTAAGCTCATCCAGTTTTTGTTGTAGAGACTTTGTTTACTTATCTTTCGAAAGAAAATCTTCTACGGATTTCAAAACTATATAATGTGCCTCGTGTTAAGATAGAAAATAATTTTTAAATAAAGAAAAGTGAATGGACTTTGCACGTCAGTCGAGACATATTAAATATTTAGTTTAGAATGTAAGCATCAAATTTCGTCGGGAAATTTGGTGAAAACTTGCTCAAAGTTGAGGCTCAAACCTTTACATACTTTATATAATCTGTATCGCTATACAACCAGGAATTTAAAAATGTTTGGATGAAGTATATTGGTTGAGTATTTTAAAAATTATCTAAAGTTTTGTAAAGTTTTGTACTGAGAATTTCAAAATATTTTAATACATATATGACAGCATGCATGGAATGTAAATATAGCGCAACAGTACAAAACTTTGCATAATTTTTAAAATACTCAACCAATGTACTTCATTCAAACATTTTTAAACTCCTGGTTGTATAGCGATACAGATTATATAAAGTATGTAAAGGTTTGAGCAAGTTTTCACCAAATTTCCCGACGAAATTTGATGCTTACATTCTAAACTAAATATTTAATATGTCTCGACTGACGTGCAAAGTCCATTCACTTTTCTTCATTTAAAAATTATTTTCTATCTTAACACGAGACACGTTATATATTTTTGAAATCTGTAGAAGATTTTCTTTCGAAAGATAAGTAAACAAAGTCTCTTCAACAAAAATTGGATGAGCTTACATAAGATTTGTAATGTTGTTTTCATGTTGTAAACAATTAAATTTTAGTCAAGCGGCTGCCAAATTGACTCCTAACTTCTAAATTTCTGATCGTATAAACTTGATTTAAACATTTTCTCGAGGATTAAAAATATATAAAATTTACCTTGTCTTGGAGCAGCGAGTATAGGAAATTTTGAAGAACAAATCAATTTCGCGCGTTGAAATTAAGTGGTCTTATTAATTTTATATTGATTGGAAAAACAGGTTTTACTAGTGATGAGAAATTAACCAATCGTAGGCAATCAAAATAATTTAATTATCTTTAGCCAATGACAGTCTACTACTCAGATCTGAGTAGCTCGACAAGCAATCGCGTGAGTTTTCACAGACTGTAGTACAGGGTAATACAGGATGTGCACAGGCTACGATTCTCCACGTTTGTGTTCAAATAAAGAATATAAAAGAGAAGAAAAATACACAACAGGCAACAGGATATGCCGCTGAAACCGTTTAAGTAGGTTCTTTTAATTTTAAACTCGTTTACACTATAGAGTTTTCGTCACGAAATACAATTGTTGTATGAATGTTGTTGAAGTTGATTTTTGTTCGTCGCTATATAACAAAACACTTAATGCCTGTTCCCTCGGGAAATAGTTAGTTTTGTTTTCCCTCGAATCTTGAGATTCCCTCGGGAGCAGACATTAAGTGTATAATATTTCTTCATATTACTTCTGAGCTGTTTGATTCGTTTGAGCAAATTTCCAATTCAATACTCAATAGTCTGAGTCTATCTCGAGTTTCGAAAATATTTAATTTGTTTCTCAAAGCACTGCATGTAAACAAACGCATAATTTTGAGACCGACTGCACTTAGTTTGAG